TTGGAATTGGCTCCTTGGTGGTCTTTAGGGTCCACAAGACTTGGGCATAACATTTGGGGGCTCATCCAGGATCTTCAAGAACTCCCCCCAGCACCCCTGAATGGAAGGGTCAAGGACTGGCCAGTAAGCATCTTGTCTGCATCTGTCTTGGTGTTCCTCTAGTTTCTGTTTCAGGCCTTGAAGCAAAATATGTAATCTATGTGGTCAGGAACGGTTAGGGAAGATGTGCTGGAAGACGTTCCAGACCCTGGTGGAGGGGACAGAGTTCCCCTAGTTTTTGTAATCTCTGGAGAAGGACAAGGCAGGTTGTTCTTTCAGTGTGGCAATTCTCCGCTGTTCCATTTTCCATTTTTCTGCCGCATGAGCAGCAGGATCTGTTGTCTGGCTCTGTGTGTGTCTTTTCGGTTGACTGTCTTGTTTGTTGCTCCCTATTTTTTTGTGTGTGACTGAAACTGACGACAGACTCTTTCTAACCCCCTAGACTTAATTCTCGCCCGTTTCAGGGAGGCTCAAGCCATTCCACAAGCTCAGCTGCTCTAGCCTGTAGCTGTGGGTGGGAAAGAGCCTGCTGAGAGGGCAGGCAGGCCAGCAAAAATGGCCATAGGTATACAAGCCTGGCTTCTGATAGGAAAGATGGTGGTGGTGGCCACTTCTCCTCCAGGGTTGAGGTAGCTCAGGTGGTGGCTCCAGCGGTGGCAGTGGCAGTGGCGAGGAGGCGCCAAGGGATGGCTACACTATGCAGAGCCCCAGGCTGAGCACCTGTGCTGCTGCTCTGGTCTCTGGTCTGGTGGAACGACAGGCTGTTGTTCTGAGTTTTGGGTTTTTTTTCTTTTGTGTGTGTGTGTGTGTCGTGTCATCTTTTTGTGGGTTTTTGGTCATCTTTTTTTGTAATGGTCTCGGTAGGCCCGTGACCAAACAGGGCTGTGTGCCATGGTGACCTTGCCTGCCCCGTGTTCCCAGCACTATGAGCTGGCTCCGGTGGGAGCATGCCTCAGGACAGAAAGGCGGGGAGATGGAAAACAGCCAGGCAGGCAGCGCCTCAAGCCCACCCAGGCTAATGGTTGCACTTCCAGCTGGATGGCTGGGAAGGCCCGGTTGGTGAAGATGGCTAGGGGAGAGATGGTGTCAGCATCACCTGTGGCATGAAACCATCCCCCACCCCAAGTGCTAGCTGAAATCCTGGGGAAGAGGGAGCTTGTGCTTCTGGAAGAGCGCAGCGTGTGCAAGCCTGGCCTCCAGTAGGAGAAGCGGTGAACTTCCACCGTGACCGTGCCCACTTCTCTGAGGCTCAAAGAGGGCTATGGCAGCTTCGATGGCAGGCGGGCACCAGAGAGTAACTGTAGTGTGCAGAGCCGCCCCTGCTGCCCCCTGAAACCAAGCAATGCTGCTGGGGAGCCCCAACTCCTGCCTGGATTCACAGATAGCAAAGTGCTTGAAGTTACAGCTGGAGGAAGGAAGAAAAATTTTTGTCTGTTTTAAATGTATGTATGGCCATTACATATTTCTGACTGATCTTAAATGGTTAATGTGCTCTGTATATCTTGGTTATAAATTAACAGTTATTGGATGTGTTTAAAGTTTAAATTCAAACTCTTTGTTTAGAACATATATATGTGTGCATATGTGTTTGTAACATCTATAGAAATACAGATGTATTTAACTAGCAACCATGTGGCCTGCCATGTGATCGGACTCCACCATCTTGAAAGTACCACGTGGTGTGGCCTAGGGCAAAAAAATTACAGAACCTCCTAGTCATAATGAATTCTGTTTATCATCCTATCTCCTTTTAGACTAGGAAAACAAGTCTCATTTTAAAATGATTTTAGAGACACTGAATTATTTACGCTGATAGTATTTGATTTTGACTTCTAAAATTATGGTTATGCTTTGTGACTTCACTCCTAAGAAAGGGTACTTTATTTTGATATTGCAAAAACAGATTTCTTTTTAAAAATGTGTTTAAGACTATGAAACATTTTAAAGTTTATCAGGTATTTTATAATAATGTCTTTATGGATTTTATATATATATATATAAAATTCAGGGCATGTATGATTCAACCCTGGTTTATGAAGGTCTATTCAGATCTGAAGTATGTGCCTGGCTGCCATTTCCTGAATGACTGTTTCTTTCTGGCGGATAGGTTTAGTATGGCCAGAATAGTTCAAGTACAGTTTTAAAATTGTTCTATACTGTTCTCCTATGTAGTTGGTTCTAAACTGATTTGATTACAACATTAGAACTTGGTTATAAGAAACTGTAGATGTTCCACAGTGCTATGTGGTGGGAGGTGGCAACACCGCCAGTGACATCTGATGGCTGTGTTCTAAATTGCCTGCTACCGCCTGTAACAACACATGGCTGGCTGCCATGTTAAGTCAGGGATAAAGAGGATGGAGCCATGGCTTCATTAGCATCTCCACTAAGGGCAAGCACATGGTGTCACCGCTGTCTTAACTAAGGGCAGTCCCATGCAACCATCTTGGTTGTGGGATAGTCATGCTGCCATCCTAGTTGAGGGCTGCCAGCTGTGTTCATTTCCCTTTTTAGCACTAAATGCAACTTCTGTCCTTTAAGCTTTTGCTGTTCCATCTTAATAATGCAATGTGGTAGGATCAACAAGGTTTCCTAGTCCCTCTCTGAACTGTATCTGTGATTGAAAGTTTTGCTTTGATTTTAGTTCAGAAATATATTTAGGTACACCTTTTTTTTAAGATTTATTATTCATTATGTATACAACGTTGTGTTTTGCATTTACATCTGCACACCAGACAAAGGCACCAGATTTCATTATAGGTGGTTGTGAACCACCATGTGGTTGCTGGAAATTGAACTCAGGACCTCTGGAAGAGCAGTCAGTGTTTTTAACCTCTGAGCCATCTCTCCAGCCCCTCAGAAATATATTTAAAGTTATGTTAATGACTGCAGTTGAGCTTTACAAGATTGAGCTTTACCTAGTCTCTTGTTTATGTTTTCAAGATTAAGCCTAAGATGGGTAACTACAACGTTTGCCTACGTAGATCTACTTGAAATAGATACGGTCCTAAAACACTTAACTACAGAGTGCATCAGCATTAGAGACTATAACATTGTGTTTCACAGAATGCAGTTTAGAGCAGATAACCAAAGATAGACAAAGGTTAACTCAGATGTGCTGGCCCTCAAGGTTGTCAGAAATCTGATGAATATGGCATTTTAACATGTGTAAGCTTATTATGACAGACAGAGAGTCCCAGAATCCTGGCAGTAGCTCCCAAGGTCTCTGAGAAGATTAGGGCACAACGATAGATGACTTCAACTCTGGATTGTGGTATGCTAACCACTGGGCAAGACTGCCCCAACTGGCCCACCACTAGGGCTCAGCCTAAACTGTGGATAAAATTGTGGACACCTGGAGAGTCATTGTTCCGTGTTGCTGAAGATGACATGAGGCCAGTCTCTCACGTTCTTGTTTTCCACAGAAACTGTCTCTCATCCTCTGTTCCTGATGGCCGGACTGCCTCTGCTCAAGATGCCATGAGACCACAGAAGCCAGGGACAACTGCCTAGGTGATGGACTGTCATCTCTGTCATTTTGATTGGTACATAGACTAATTTAGGTTACAATTTATCCTTCTGAGGTCTCTGATCACATTAATGGCTAAGCTAGCTAATAGTAGCTTTGCAACTAAAAAAACACACAGTTAGATCCACTGTTAGTTCATTAGTAGATTCATTATCTAGTTAAAACTACTAGGTACTAGATCTCTTATTTAGAAAGGCAAACAAGTTTGCCTTGCTCACAGGCTTCATGTTAACTGCCTGTGTCTTATGGTAAATAACTGGATAGAAAGATGTTAAGTTTATGTAAGGTCAGAGGATATAAGAAGATTTTTAGATTATGAGAATCTGAAATTTGTTTGAGGGTCTTGAAAGATGTTTCAAGGTTGGTAAATAAAAGTTATAAAGAGAAAAAAGGAAAGAAAGAGAAAAAGAAAAAAGTTATAAAGAAAAGCCTTTAAGAAAGTGTTTGAGGGTCTAAGAAGGTATTTTAAGGTTGGTAAATGCAAGGAAGACTCAGGGTCTAAGAAGGTGTTCTAAGATCTATAAATGTAAGCTGTAAAGTATTTGTGGGTCTAAGAAAGTGTTTTTAATGTATATGAATACAAGTTGTAGTGATATTAAGAAAGTCATATTAAAAATGGGAAATATTTCAGATTTCTCTTCCCCCTTTATGCTATTGCTGTCCTTACGTTATAAGATTCCAAAGGTGCAGAGTTTTGACACTGATCAACAGAGTTCTGATAAGCTGACAGAGCCCTGACTGCTTATTATCAATCACAAGCTTGAGATTTTAATTTCCTTTTTGTTGTCTTCTGGAGATAGACTTAAAAGTGCTTCTAATTATGCTAAAACCTTTCTGTTCAATGTGTATATCTTAGAAAATAAAATGCTTTTTAACCCAAAGCTGTGGCTTTTAGCAGGTCTTAATGGCATGAGTCTACTCCTGCTGTCTTGCAGACACCTGTTACCTGCTTTTTCTAAAGTATGGATCTCAATACAATGGTGATACTAATATACTTCTTTTTGTAAATTAATTTAATATGAACTTCAGGAAATCAAAAGGTCAGGAGACCTGGATCCGCCACTGCCCACACAGACCCCAGATGAATACACCTGCCTGATTTTGAAATGGGATTTTTCCCTTGGTCTTGGGATTCCTTACTTTCCCCAATTACTAGACAAACTTTAACTTCTGTCCTAGTCTAAATTTGTCTCAGCAGATTTTCACCTGGCTGACAGACTCCATTCAGGGATCAGCTGTGGATTGCAAGCTGCTGAGACCTAGACTTGCTGAAAGCTGAAATAAACCAGTCCAGCTGATGTGATGGTTCCTTGTCTCTTCAACTGGATCACTAGTTAGACGGTTTTGATAAGTGCCCCATTGCCTAGCCTTTCAGCCTTCCTGGACCCTCCAATGTCTTTGTCCTAATGTCAGCTTTAAGAAGTTACAGAAGGTGCTCACTTCAGCAGCACATATACTAAAATTGGAATGATACAGAGAAGATAAGCATGGCCCTTATGCAAGGATGACACGCAAATTCGGGAAGCGTTCTATATATATATATATATATATATATATATATATATAAAAAGAAGTTACAGAAGATAAATTTGTTGGCCATTGTCCTACCAAACAGGTTGAAATGCTAAGTCAGCTCCCTGACATAAGGAATGGGTTCCTTAATGCCAATTGACATACCAGAAAATTGACCCTTAGTTTTGTTTCTTCTAGTCATGCTTTGTGCCCCTTGCATGATTATGCCTAGCATTAGAAAAAAGTCTCAATACCAGCCCTTGAACCCATCTCAAATCTTTGAAGGGGGAATGCGAGGACTGTGTAGCCCCATTTCTGAAAAAGAAACTCCTTCCTAAGGGTAAATGACCTGTGCATGAACTCCAGTTTCAAAAAAGGAGAAAACCCACAAAAATATGCTTCAACTATTCATCTCTGGTAATATTTAACCATCACCCCAGCAACAGCTAATTAGTGAATACCTGGAGTTTACCCACGTGTTCTTTATAGGTTGAGCAAAACAAGTATGGTTTGGCCCTCCAGACACAATCAATCGGGTTTTATCACCCGATATTTGCTAAATGTCAATCAGTCATAGAACTGCCAAGCTGGAATTCCCCGGTCCTCGCTCAAACCCCAATAAAAACCCTTCTCTTCCTCCTGAGCTCAGGGCTCTACACTCCAGAACCAATGCACTGGTGATGGTGTGGGCCCGAGCTCGAGCTTGTAATAAAGACCTTACTGAATTGGCTCCTTGGAGGTCTTTGGGGTCCTCGAGACCTGACCTCTGCACACACGATTGTGAACTCCCAAGCACAGCGATTAAAAAGAAAAGCAAGCAAGGATGGACGGGCAGGAAGTTGAGAAGAGATTCTGAGGCTGGTTTGTTTGTTTTTCTTTTCTGTTTCTTTTTTGTTGCTGGTTTTGGTTTGGTTTGGTTTTTCAAGACAGGGTTTCTCTGTGTAACTCTGTCCTGGCTGTCCTGGACTTGCTTTGTAGATCAGGCTGGCCACAAACTCACAGTCATCCTCTGCTTCCTGAGTGTTGGGATTAAAGGTGTGTGCCACCTTGACTAGTTTAGATTCTGAGTTTTTGTTTGTTAGCCTTTGTTTTGTTTGTTTGTTTGTTTATTTATTTATTTATTTATTTTGAGACAGGGTTTCTCAGCATAGCTTTGGCTGTCCTGGAACTTGCTCTGTAGACCAGGCTGGCCTCTGCCTCCCGAGTGCTGGGATTACAGGTGTGCACCACAGCGCCTGGCTTGTTAGGTTATTTTTTAAATCATACTCCTTTGACTAGCTTCCTGACCTAAGTCACTTTCAGACCCCAAACTGATTAGCTGGTGGACTGTTCACAAAGGCTTGCAGCACCAGTAATATATGAGTAATGTGTTACTGATTTGATCTCCATCTTTCCAGTGTGGGGCTTGTGATAATTCCTCTTGATTAGCCACAGAGGAGATGATACGAAGACATTTTGGAGGGTTGTTGGACACTGAATCTGAACTGTCACTGATAGGCAAGGTAGCCAACAGTGCCCGAGCCAAAGGCAAGCTGCCAGTGAGGCCACCCTACTTAGAACAGTCTGTTAGGATGTCCTGTGGACAGAGTCATACTAATGAGTCAGGCCAAGCAAAAGTAGCTGGCATTGTAAAATACAGGACCTCCAGAGCACAGAAGTAACTGGCACCTGCAATGTTGGTCATGTTTTCAAGAATCCGGTGCTTATGGGACATCTGTTCCAATATAGAAAGCACAGTTGCTGCCAGGCATTGTCACACATACCTGTCCTGAGACAGGTCATCCACGGCTACACAGTGAGACCCTGACAAACTGCTATGCCTTTCATCCCCTGCCACAGAGAAGAATTCACAGCACCTTGGTGCTCTGTAGGTCTGGAGGCAACCCTTTCCTTACAGAAACACCGCTCTGACCCATAGACCAGGTCACCCAAAACCTGCCACTCTGGGACCAGCAAAAGGGCTCTGTGGGTAAAGGTAAATGGAGACCTCTTCATAAAGTTGTCCTCTGACTTTCACATGTGAAACTGCATACATGCCCACATGTGCAGATTATGTGCAGATATACAACAAGAGTTAATAGATGTTAAAGAGAAAGTCTCCCACTCTGCATGGGGCCTGGAGCAGAAAAGAACTAAGCCCATTTTCATCATTCCTGGTGACCTCCTGGAGGACTTTGTGCTTCCCTGTTCTGCAGGATTAGAAATTCTAATAATCCCCAAAGACTCAAATTCTTTCCAGCAAGTGGTTCATATTGAAATGTATTCTATGGTTGCCACGTGGACACTTTAAACTCCATGTACATAGGAATTACCAGGCAAGAAGAAAAACTACCATGTAGTTAAGGGTAAGAGCCTCTCATCAGAAACAAACAAATAGCAAGGCTACTATTACATAGAGAAAGGAACATATATACTGACACACGCAGACACCTCTTAGTACTTCTTTGCCTTGCTAAGGATGACAATAAATGTCAAGGATGCAAAGGGGACCTTATATCCTCAGGAATTAGAGTTTCAACCTTAGCATCAGATACACCAAGGAGATATTATCTATAAAGAATTTAGAGAAGTTGGGAAGCTTAGCATGGTGGCACATGCCTATAATCCCAGTATTTAGGAGACTGAGAAAGGAAGATCAGTAATAGTTTGAGGCCAGCCTGGGCTACATAGAAAGTTCCAGGCTAGCTTCAGTTAGGCATGATACCTAGCCATTACCCTCTCCTACCTCACCACCCTCCAATAAAGAAGAGGATGAAATGAGTACCAGACACAATCCACTAACTTTCTTCATCTCTCATCTAGGTTCTCCCACAAGAAGAGGGAGCCAAGAAACCCTTATCAAGTGTGTATGGAGACGTGAACCCTCAGGACACAAAGGGTAGATTGGCGTAGTCACAGATACGCCCTTCAAGAATGTAATTTTTGGGCCAGCGAGATGTCTTGGCAGGTAGAACTTGACAAGCTGAGTTCAATCCTCAAGAGCCACATAGTAGAAGGAGAGAACAGACTCCTGCAAGCTGTCCTCTGGCCTCTACACATGCACAAGGTACTTAAATACTTATATTTATTAATAAATAAATATTTAAAAAAATGAGAGAGAGAGAGAGAACATGTACTAGGTGGTGATGGCAGACACCTTTAATCCCAGCCAGGGCTATTCAGAAAAACCCTGTTTTGAAAAAAGATAGAGACAGAGACAGAGAGGTGTGTTTTGGGTTGGGTGTGATGGAACACTCTTGTAATTCCAGCACTTCGGTGCCTAAGGCAGGAAGACTGAAGCCAGCCAACCCCCACCCCACAGGAAGGAGGACAGTTCTCTTTGTTCAACTGTTCCAAATGTCCTTATCTCACTTCTTCCAAAGCAACTCTGTACGAATTTGCCATGTTCAAGTCAAGGCTGCATTCTTCGCACCCACACCTCAGAAACAAGTGGACATGGTGTATACACCCAGAGCTGGTCATTTCTGAAGACTGTGAAGCTACTCTGGCAACTCTGCCCATTTCTGTGTGGTTGACTGAGGCCTTGTCAGATCTGCAAAGTGATTCTCTGCCTCGTCCAGCTGCTTTTGCTCTTAGCTATCATTCCATGACCACCAATAAACCTCTTGCTATGTTCCAGTGTCCCAGTGAAAAAGCAATGAAATTCAAAAGAGAAAAGAAAGAAAGGAAAGGACATTTATTTCGTTTTTCAGAGAGGGTTTCTCTGTGTAGCCCTGGCTGTCTTGGAACTCACTTTGTAGACCAGGCTGACTTTGAACTCAGAAATCTGCCTGCCTTTGTTGGGATTAAAGGCATGGGCCATCATATTAGGCTAACCCTACAAAAATGTATGTGTGTACACACAATGCAATTCTAAGTCTGTATGTATGTACTCTGTCTTAGGGGTGAAGTATCGTTCAGTGGTAGAGCTCTTGCCTACATGTACAAGGTCCTGCATCTAGTCCCTAGCACCAGGGGAAAAGAGACATATGTAGATGAGGGTTAAAAGAAGACAAGCATAGTAAGAAGAAACGCAGTATCTTGAAAGGATTGCAAATCAGGTTTTTTAAATTTATTTTAATTTTATTAATTACACTTTATTCACTTTGTATCCCCCCCATAAGCCCCTCCCTCCTCCCTTCCCAGTCCCACCCTTCCCCCCCTTCTTCACGGATGCCCCTCCCCAAGTCCGCTGATAGGGGAGGTCCTCCTCTCCTTCCTTCTGATCTTAGTCTATCAGATCACATCAGGAGTGGCTGCATTGTCATCTTCTCTGGCCTGGTAAGGCTGCTCTCCCCTCAGGGGGAGGTGATCAAAGAGCAGGCCAATCAGTTCATGTCAGAGACAGTCCCTGTTCCCATTACTATGTAACCCACTTGGACACTGAACTGCCATGGGCTACATCTGTGCAGGGGTTCTGGGTTATCTCCATGCATGGTACTTGTTTGGAGTATGAGTCTCAGGAAAGACCCCTGTGCTCAGATTTTTTGGTTTTGCTCTCCTTGTGGAGAGCCTCTCCAGATCTTACTATTTCCCACTTCTTTCATAAGAATCCATGCACTCTGCCCAAAGGTTGGCCATAAGTCTCAGCATCTGCTTTGATAGTTTGCATGGCAGAGCCTTTCAGAGGCCCTCTGTAGCAGGCTCCTAACTTGTTTCCTGTTTTCTTCTTCTGATGTCCATCCTCTTTGCCTTTCAGGATGGGGATTGAGCATTATAGCCAGAGTCCTCCCTCTTGATTAGTTTCTTTAGGTATACAGATTTTAGTAGGTTTATCCTATATTATATGTCTATATAAGTGAGTATATACTGTGTATGTCTTTCTGCTTCTGGGATAGCTCACTCAGGATTATCTTTTCCAGTTCCCACCATTTACCTGCAAATTTCATTATTTCCTTGTTTTTTTATTGCTGAGTAATATTCCATTGTGTAGATGTACCACAATTTCTGTATCTATTCTTCAGTTGAGGGGCATCTGGCTTGTTTCCAGCTTCTGGCTATTACAAATAAGGCTGCTACAAACATGGCTGAGCAAATGTCATTGTGTA